TTGTGTGGCTTTGCGGAGCCTTTAAATACCGCTGTTTGCCCGTGGCGCGTTCTCTCCGCTCCGCCCAGCCCCACTCACTTTGCTCGCTCTCGACTCCGTGCACGCTCCCTGACGGTGGCCTCGCCCCTGTCAGGCAGGTGCAGGGTGGGTTGTCATGTAGCCTTCGTTAGCCTTTGGCCTTTTGTTTTGACCTGGTGGAACCTGCTGTCCTGTTTTAGTTTTTCTTTTGGGTTCAGGTTTGTTGTTGTTTTTTTGTCTTTAGTTACAGGTGCTGACATCAGCTTCTATGGGCCTGTACGGGGTTGGCCCGGTGTCTCTCCTTTTTGTTCTGTTTGGTCGGCTCACCAGGTCCACCTTTCTGTTTGTTACTTTTCATTATTTTTTGGGGCACGGGAGGGTTTTTAAATTTCTCTAAAAACATTAAAAAAAAGAACCAACTAGAACAGGGGTGGGCAAACTACGGCCCGGGGGCCATATGCGGTCGGCCCTTTAATCTTCTTAATCCGGCCTGCCAAACTTGATAATATTCAGTGTTTTTAAAGTCATTTCAATAAATATTGTGGGACCTGAAAGACAGATATTTTGTAATAATGCTTTGTAATGATTTTCAATTATGCAATATTTCAATAACATGGGATATATTTTCTGCATATCCCATGTTATTTTTTCTCTTACGAGGTGGATTACCAAAAAAGTCCATCCATCTGCTCCTGGTCCGGCCATTCTGTCAAATTTTAAAACCCTTTGTGGCCCTCGAGTCAAAAAGTTTACCCACCCCTGAACTAGAAATAAAAGAAATGAAAAAGCTACTGTGTCCTTTTAAATATGTTTCCCTTCAGGTCGTAACAAACGTGATTAAAAGTAGTGCTGTCAAGCGATTAAAAAAATTGAGAGATTAATTATGATCTGTAATTAATTAATCTAATTCATCTCTTTTTTAATCTCACCTAAAAATTGCTGAGAAAAGCTTCAACTTGAGGTATTTTCATTTGAATTCATTATTACATTATTTTCATACGATCATTAATGTTTTTATATAAGTATCATCATTATCACTATTACTAATCTGCATAAATAAACTCAACTTTACAGCATATAAACATCAACACTCTAAAGCCACATCAGCCCGTTTGACATTATAATGTGTTTAATGCAGCTCAGAAACAAAACTTAAAACCGCATGGCTCATTTGCATAAACTAAGCGAAAAAAAATAAAAAAAAAAAGCTCTTGTGTCGCTGATCTGGTTCAGCTTCTGTTGGAATAAAGAACATGACTCAGTGAAATATAGATGTTCTTTCTGTGACAGAGGGATGTTCTGCTGATGCTGAGTCTGTTCTGTGTCTGTGTCGTGATGTTTTCAGATCAGACGTGTGCAGGTTTATCGCAGATGCGGCGAGAACGGGAATGAAAATTACAATTCTTTGCGGGAGCGAGCGGAGCAGGACTGCACAGTGCGGGACCGTGTCCTAACAACACATAAAAACAGATTTTATAATAAGGCAACTCGCGAACAGAAACAGTAAAGTTAGAAATTAAAAATAAGATTAACGCGATTAAAAAACATAACTAAATATGACTGTAATTAATTAACCGCAATTAACGTGATAATTTGACAGCCCTAGTTAAAAAGTCGTGTTCTGAAGAGTCAGTTTTGCAGAATAAACCTGCTTTAAAACACAAACCCGACCTACCGACTTTTCTCCTATGGGTAAATAAGTTTAATGCCATACTGTGGAACATTCCAGGTGACCAATAACATCTCCATTACTCCTACTAAGTATTAAAAAAAAAATACTGTGACAAACTTTGCATTCTTACTGTCAACGAGGTCGCCTCTTTTGTTCGCATGGAAAGAAATACTTTTGGTGCCATGTTGCGGTACAAATCAATAACATCTCCATGGAAACGAGCGAAAAAGTTACACAACGCACCTTTAACTTGCACTTTTTAACTTTTGCTACGGCTTTTTTAACCAGAATTTCAACTCTTGCTGTTGTTTTTTAACGTTCCCAACTTGGAAAATCTGAACTTTTGACTCTCATCTGGACATTGTCGAGCGCGTTTATTTATTTATTAACAATTTCCTTCGACGCACGCGGTCTTTAACTGTTCTTAAATCCGCCCGGCTTTTGTGGAAGTGGCTTACGCGCTAATTGTAGCCGGGAGGACGCTCTCACCGCACCTCTAATATACGAGCGTTTTAACCCAAAGGAACCGGAGAGGGTGCACATTACGGTTAGAGCGGCGATGACTCACGCACCTCGCGATCGCAGGCAGAGGGCGCCACTAATCGCTCCCTCATTATCCACAAAACGGTTTTTATTTATAGCCGGCGCTTAAAGCCATCCCAGACGAGAGCGGAGAGAAAGAGAGAAAGAGAGAGAGCATCTCCCCTTCAAATTAAAAGCTCGGGAGTTTCGGTGGTTAGTGCCGTGAGACCGGAGCGGGGCGCAGACACTTGAAACCTAACGAAAGCATGATTTCATTTCGCGCCGCAG